TATCATTTGTAACAATAATTTGGATAAACAACACCTGCTCCAAGTCTTCAATAAGGTACACCCAGCTATTAAATTCACTTGTGAAGAGGAACTCCAAGGTAGTATTCCATTTCTGGATGTTCTTCTTACAAAAACAACAGACGGTACCTTAAAGAGAAGCATCTATAGGAAAGCGACGTGGAATGGACAGTACACCCACTCCCATAGCTTCATACCTGTACAAAATAAGCGCAACCTAATTCGTTGTCTTAGCCATAGAATTAGACGATTGTATTGAAGATGAAATAAGAAATCTTACAAACGCCTTGCTACAAAACGACTATCCTACCAACTTTGTAAAGAAGTATATCTATGAAAATACACATAAAACTAAGCGAGTGAATGAATACCAGCGGCGGCCTGCTTGAACATAGAGCTACCAAAAATTCCACCTTACAACATTTTGCAAAATTGCTTTGGTTTGCTCTTTTAATTTTGTTTTAATTTATCAATAATGTGTCCAAATCGTATTATATATAATCGCGCATTTTTAAAATCATTACAACCTACTGCGTTGTGTCATCCACAAAAATTGAGAAAAAAGCATCACTGTGGATAGCAGCGTGCACTGAAACGTACACAAATTAATCAAATGACTGATCCTGAACTCGTTAACACTAATTGTAGATCCCTCTCCAACAAAATGGATTATCTTCAATCCCTAATGTATTCTAGTGTTTATCGAAATGCTGGCGTTTTAGCAATACAAGAGACTTGGCTGCGCCAGCATTATGATGATAATCTAGTTTCAATAAATGGATATAAAGTTTTTCGCCAAGATAGAAAAAGTTCTAAGAAAAAATATGGAGGAGGGGTAGCCACTTTTATAAACACAAGTTGGTCTACATCAAATCACGTTTGCTTCAATTATTCTAATGACAATATAGATTGCATAACCGTCAGGTGTCGCCAAAAAACTTAAGTAAATATTCTTATATATACATAACAAATATTTACATAACACCCAATTGTAGCCTTTCTAATATACTTATGTTTGCAGATGAATTCACTGAATTTGCTGCTCCTGCATTCGGAAACTCGTTGTCTATAGTCTGTGGTGATTTTAATTCATGTGATCACAGCTTTCTTACACCATTGCATCGGTGGCACAGTGGTTAGGACTCTCGCCGACCATGCACATGGTCCGGGGTTCGATCCCCTGGCGACGCACACCCGATATCTATGGTCGGCCTGCAAATTTGGGTTACCGATATCCATGCTGAAAATTCCATACCTCTACTGAAAAGTCGGTGTGGCTGTAATAAAAATAAAAATAAAATTTAAAAATGAGAATCTAGTCAAGTTTAATACACGTCTGGACAAATCACTAGACCTGGTTTTCATAAATGAACGTGATGTATATGAAACCCGAAGGAGAGCTCCTTTGCTAAACTCTGACCACTGCATTATTCGTATTTTACCGAAAGTGTACGGCAAGTTACAACAAAAATTGTTTAGTCATTTAACAAAGAAGATACATGAATGTTCATATTCCCATGACAACATTCTAGCACTAAGAAGCATGTTGTATGATACCAACTGGGAACTATTTACTGACGATAAGTTGGATGCTACTGTCTCTAATATAACCGATTATCTGAAGTTTTGTTTGGAAATGTGCTGTCCATATGAAACACTGTTTTCGAGATTTGACAGAATCTCTTCTTTGCAACTGAAAAAACTCAGAAGACTAAAAGAGAAGTTGTATAAGAATTGTGATAATACTGGTGTCCGTAAAATAAACACCCTTATAAAAATTGAAATAGAAAGGTTGAACAGACTATATAATGAAAAATTTTTATCATGTAAAAATCCTTCAAACATTTGGAAACTTTTCAATAAACTTACAAGTAAAAAACAAATGTCTGTTGATGCTTATTCTGATGTTAATGCTTTAAACAAATCATTTATCATGAAACAAATTAATATGGTTGTACCTGATGTACCTAGTCAAGATAATGGTCATTTTCCGGGTTTTAAAGAAAAGGATGTACTATTATGTTTGAAATCTTTAAATCCAACACACAGCCTTGGTCCAGATGGTGTACCAAGCATTCTTCTTCAAAAGTGTGCAGACATCTTGTGTCATCCTCTTACTCAAATCTTTAATGCATCATTTAACAGGGAAACGGTACCTGCTGACTGGAAAGAAATCAAGGTTGTACCTGTACAGAAATCATCTTCTGGAGCAAGTATAAAGTTTAGACCGGTCGCTATAACATCTCCTTTTTTGAAAACTATGGAGAAACTTCTTTTGAATATTCTTAAACCTTCTTTAAAAGCTTTTAGTGACCCTAAGCAGTTTGCTTATAAGTGTGGAAGAAGTACATTAGATGCAGCCATTGTACTACACCACAATATTGTTTCCTGCCTTGATAAGGGTGCTAAGTTCGTTCGAACAGCTTTTTTAGACTATACTGCAGCTTTCGACTCTGTTCCTAGGACACTTTTATTAGGAAAGATGATTTCAGCACAAACAGAGTCCTGGGCAACTAGATGGCTGTCTTCTTATTTTAAGGATAGGAAACAGCATACTGTTTTGGCTGGAAAGCGCTCCACTTCTCAGCTAACTGAAAGTGGTGTGCCTCAAGGTGCAGTACTTTCTCCATTTCTTTTCTCTTTCTTTTTGCATGACCTTCCGAACTCACCCAAAGTTAACTTCATTAAGTATGCTGATGATCTGACCGTTTCTGTCCCTGTAGTTTCCACATCGGATTGTTCCCATATGAATGGCTTCTTAGCTGAAGTTAAGGATTGGTCTGGCTCAAATGGTCTTAAACTAAATCCAACTAAATGTAATACTGTTGATTTCAGCTTGAGAAGTGAAAAAGACATGCATGGATTGATCCAATCTCATGATTGTTGTAATATTGATGGTACCATGATAGAGAGTAAGTCAAGTGTTTCTTATCTTGGCATTAGTTTCTCTTCAAACCTTTGCTGGTCGTCTCATATTCTTATAGTTTCTAAGAAAGTTTTCCGTCTGACTTATTACATAAAGAAGTTGAGGCACTCAGGTATAACCCAACCTCTTCTCATACAATTTATTAATTCATGTGTTTTGCCCATCATTCTTTATTGTTCTCCATTATTCTTCCCTGGGCTACTCAAGAAAGACCATATAATACTACGAAGAACATTGAAGGCTGTAAGTAGGGTCAGTGCTATCCCTTTGACTCAACTAACTGACACTGTTGTCAATAGGCATATGAATTCTTGTAAACACTTAGCTAAAGTTATCTTGTCTGATAGTGAACATCCTCTTTATTCACAATTGTTTCCTTGTATCTCTTCGGGTAAGACCAGAAGAAATTTCATAAACATTTATGCTCGTACTACAAAATATAAAAATTCGACCGTACCATATTTGGCACGAGTATTGTGTGAAGAGACAAATATCAGAAAAGAACTTTTACAACTTTTAAATCATTAACTAAACTATAAAATGTAATGATGCATATTAATGCATGTGTTATTTGTTATATTATTTATTTATTATTCACTATGACCTAGCAATGGTGTGATTTTGTTGGGGTTTTATTTTTTCCTATTAACTATCAATATTTTAACATTTTATACATTTATATAATTATAAACAGAGCTAAACCATTGCAATATGTAAAAGAAACGCTGAAAATTCCATGCTGTAAATTGTTATTGTTGTGGAATAAAGTGATTATTATTATTATTATAAGTAAAAGCTTTACTTAAATGTACAATTCAAAGGCGATATATCCAGCGATATATTAAACTGTAGATTAACGAGATCAATTGAAAGAACTTTTAATGCCGCAAAACTACATGTCAGTTTCTCAACCAAACCGATGTTGACACTGTGCACTAAAGATAGATTACCCAAAATGGCGACATCAATGTGTGTATATAAATTCAACTGCTCCTGTGGAGCTAGTCATATAGGTCGTACCCAAAGGAATTTATCTTTACGCACTCGTGAACATATTCCTGTTTGGCTTGGGAAAAGAGCAACCATGTCATTAAATAGTGCAATTCTGTCTCATCTAGTGGATAGCGAATACTGCATCAAAGTAGATGAGTCATTTACAGTTGTGTATCGAGTACCGAACAATCTCCCCAAAGGCACACGATTACGGCTCCTAGCCATAGCTGAGGCTTTAGAGAATAATAGAGAGAGACCAGACCTATGTGTACATAAAAAACTTACTCACTCTCTCTGTCTACCCTGGCCCATTATAAGGTCACCAGGATCATAATTTTTCGTATTATTATTATTACTATTATTATTTTGTGATATCATGTCTTTATTATCCATTTCTCCACCCAGTTTGTTTCACCCCATTGTTACCCTTAATTTTTTGTCAACCTTTGTGATTTTATACTAAGCCTACCAATTCTGCAACATCTTATCACAATTTAGCCTCTTTATTTTATCATTAGACATTATCGGTCAGCCCTCACATTCATTGCCACCTTTGTTAATGTGTGTTTAGAACAACACATTTAAGCGAACAATATTGTTTTCAATTAGATCTCACCAGGCTTAACTCTAATATACATAAGTTTACAAATAAAAATTCAAATATAAACGAATCATGGTGTTTTGTCTATAGGATAATAAGATGGTGACGTACTTTGACGCACTGAAAACATGCGATTTTCTCAGTATATTCTCTGCAAGTGACCATCATTATATATTAACTTCTGTTGTATTTAGAATGGTATCTAAGTTTTATTCTGCTTGGTCTGAGAGTAAATAGGAGAAGGCATACTGCTCGGCTTAATTACAATTTACGGTCATCTGGTTTGTGTCTGGCTTACTAGTCACTTAAGATAATAAGAGACTTCCTATTGAGTCTCTATGTATTTTCCTAAAGACTAGACTAGAAGGTGCTGTCAAGGAACTTAGCCCTAAGTTCCTATTGTAACGAAGACACTTTGAACCGATAATGAGTGTGTATTTGTCCAAACTTTAAATCCAAAACACCAGTATTCCTTGAACGAATTTATATTGTTTGGCAATAAAGCAAGACCAAATACAAAGTCTACAAACAAATGTTGAATACAAATGAAGTTATAAAGTACTTTTATTCGTGTTCTTTCCGCCTTCTTCCAACTTGCACGCGATCGTACCATTCGCGCCTTCAAGTTGCCCACCAATGGCTGCCAATTCCAATAAACAAACGTTCAATGTTCACGTGCATTGACAGGTGCTTTAAATAATTTCTTCCTGAAGTCCCCTGCTCTGATAAAAATGCAGATATGTCGTAGACTTAGAAACGAGATCAGTGTAGCGACAGAAGACAAGGGTCAGGCAACAGATCCTTCATTGAGAAAATAAACAGATATTTATAGATTTTTATGTATATTATTATTCGTTATTGTTAGCAAAGAAGTAATGTCTTTTGATTAGTTTTCCCTGCTGAAGGTTACTCTGTACTGCTTGTGACCGTTGCTTGCAAAGTTTTTTGTTTTTCGTTTTTTGTCCATCTCTCTACTGGCCTAAAAATTCCATTATCTTTGTCGTTTATTTTTTAAACTGCAGCGACAAATTTCTATATGGAGACTGGATAACTTGGAAAAACCTGTGAGTCAAGGCATACTTATGTTATATAAGGTCAATTATATTCAATTTTGCTCACTCAGTAGATTTAAGCAGCCAGTAGACTTCTAATGATTTTGAGTAAAGGAGAAGAATTTCACACTAAGAACTTTTGTGACAGTCTTAAATCCACCGCATTAGTTAGTTAGACTTAATTTATCCGGTACCGGCTTATGAGTCACACTTGTTATGTGTGGGGCTGATGATACCACCCACTCGGCCACACTGAAATAGGTTGAGAGAAATTCTAATCCGGGCCTCAGTAGTCGAAAGTAGAGTGCTTGAACCAATGAACCACATCTCCGCTAAAAGTGGTAATTAACCAATGGTTGGTTACATAAACTGGTTGAACACTGCAGATTAGTAAGTAATGCAATTAGAACGATGATATAATGATAACTGATGAGGTATAGATGTGTAAATTGATTGATATTCGTTCATGTCCTCCGACCTAGTTTTCCAGCTATCATTTTGTATCATTTTTTGTAGTGTCGGTATGCATAGATTTTAATAATTTCAAGATTGATTACGGACAGATTTTAGTCAGTTGACTATTGGAAACCAGGGAGTACTGGACACAGCTGTTCTGTCCTTGTAGGGGAGTCAGGAGTACACACTCGTTATCATTTTCAGTTTTGTTTTGTACAGACATTTCCCCTTAAATCAATATCATTTGAAACTTACAGTAAAATAATGCACTTTAGGTTGGTGTAAACTCTAAAAGAAGGGAACGCAAAAGCATAAAGGTGTAACTAAGCGTTCCTATGGTAATCTTTGTTATTTGATGGCTGTTTATTTGACATCAGCCTTATTCTGTTTGCAAGTCGAGTTTCCTGTTTGTATTTTCTTTTGTTTTTCTAAAATAGGTTTACACATTTTTTGAATCTGGTGATGTCCAACAAATTAAATGGAGTCCTTTAAGGTAAAAATGCTCATGAGTCATTATTTATTTTAAAGGATATTTTCGTCACTCTATGTAACTCAATAAGTTGTCACAGTATGAATAATATACATTGGGGATAAATTGTAATTTCAATGAGTAACTGGTTGATTGAGGTGGAGATCTGGTTCATTGGCTTAATCACTAAGCTTTCAACTAGTGGGTTTGGGTTTCGAGTCCTTCTGTGCCTGCTTCATCCTGGGCAATTGGATAGCACCACCATTCTTCACACATTAATTGTGTTTCGGATAATCGAGTTGGAATAATGATGGCAACAATAATTCATTGGTTTGCATCACCACACTTCTTAGTAGTTTGTTTGAAAAAAGAAACCAGTAACAGAAGGGGAATGGGATGGCACAAGGGTGTCAGTCAAATATTTCTTAAACAGTAACTAGTATTAGGGGTTGTGTGTTTGTGCAACCAACGTTAATAATATCACCTAAAAATTCTAGTCACTGCTTTCTTGATAGTTTCTGACAGGACTTGAGTCAACAGTCAGCAATTTGATGGTTAGTTATCTTGCACTGAATAGTTTCAGACTTCTTGTGCTGTGTACAGTAAACAGGACTACTATAGTACCTGTCAGTTAGCGCTATTTCTGGTTGGAAATCAGTAAACGTCAATCATGAAAATGAAAAACAAAGTCATTAAAGTAAGTAGACCTTCTAATAAATTAGATAAAAAGTACTATGGACTCGGACTTATTGGTTTTCTGTTGTTTGTAATTGCTAAAGAGAAGAAGCTGTTGGTCAACAGCCTAGTGAATAACTCGTTGAAGTTTCAAACGATAGCTGCCGGATTTTAGTTTCCGTGCGAACGCCATTTCACTGAGACTCAGATGCATCCAAAAGAAATGGGTCCTGAGTGAGGTATCTTGTAGTCCAGTGCTTGTCACTGCCTGTATAAATAACAGTAAAGTGGAGGAAAGATCTCATTATAATGATAATTAGTTTTTGCGATTTCATAAGCGTTAAAACGTCATCTAGAACTTCGGTAGTTGATTGCAACATTAAATAGGTAATTGTTCGTTCTTATTGCAATTCAAGATGCTTTTCATAGTTTTCTTAATTCATTCTATCTGCCGTGCAATGTCTAGAAGGTTAAGCACGTCTCACACTTGTCTTCACTTCTACTGTTACATATTATGGGTTTTGTGTGAATATTGGAATTTACCTGTAATTTTCCTTGGTCATTTTGAAGAATATATAGGATGGTTGCTAAGTACACTTGTTTCTTAATGTGAAAAAATGGATTGTAAAGTGAAAGACAATAAGGTAGTCTTTAGGCTTATATTTTACTTCTGGTACTTACGATGATATTGTTTTCTCCTTTTTTCCTGGGTGTCATCCACCTCAATTTATTGATATTACATTCATAAGGTTGAACTAAAATATAGTTATTTTAGGAATACGAATTACAATTCTAAGAGGCAATGTATTTGGTCTTTGTGTCCTCATTTATGGTGTTGAACTGAGTTTGTGTCTGTATCCTGCTGGATATTGCCTACTTGGCTAGAGACGTTTGAAAAGAAAACATGGATGTGAAACGCTGTCATACTTCATTTTGACAGATATAGTTGCCAAATAGAATTTAAAACATTCTCTGCTTCTCAACTTGTTGTAGGTGTAGTGACTTCTTGGTTTAGATACTCGACTTCCAACCAGTGGGACTGGGGTTTGAATCCTGCTTCAATTACTTCAGACCAGGCAACTGGTTGGTATCATAGGCTATCACACATTAAGTGTGTTTCATAGCCTTGCGAATGAAACGTCTATTCCAAGTAAGTGAGTTCTGCATAACTTAATAATTTTTTAGGTATTTCAGTGTGAATACCTAGTGAGCAAGAAAAATAGAATTTTGTTTTATCGCATTTCTACTACACTCAAATCTATAAATTAAGGTGACCCGAAAAGTTGAAATCCAATTACAACTTTGTTGCTTCAAAATGTTTCTTTCGAGATACAGTATTCAGATACTTCTGTGCTGCTTTCACAGTCTGAGGTCTTAATCTGAGAGACGTTTTCATTTATTACATTTAATTTATTAAAACCACTTTCATCTGTATATACACAGATGTGCATGTATTTTAGACGGACATAAATTGTTTCTAACACCGTTTTGTATTAAATTACCTGTTATACTCTGTATTTTGTCTTCTTCTAGAGAGGCTTGGTTAGGTGTATTGTTGACAGATTCTTGCAGTGTGAAATTGTATGATACCTACCCCATGTTTTGTCAGCCTTTAGAAGAACCTGAACAAATTCCAGTGGAAAGATTATTCTTTCGTAAGTTCTGTTTTCAGCGTAATTCTTTTCTCTCTTTTTTTGTTGTTGAGAAGAATAAACTGTGTGTCACCTTATTTTGCTGCTTTAATTATGTCATACTAAAATGGAAATCTTCATTAGATATTCATGCACTTATATAGGTTGCAATTTGACTTCTGAATAGTTAAATTCTGAAATTATTATTATTATTCTCTCGGGTTTCGGGTGAAGCATCGGGTTTCAACAGTACATCTCTATTTGACTCTGTCCTCTGTAGTTCTTTTCAGCTGGCGCCACGATTGCCCATAAGCTTTCATTTCCTCCTCACATGATCTCCTTCATTTCACAATGGGATTCCCAACTCGTTGTTTTCCATTTGAGTTTCATTCGACGACTTGGCGCAGCATATCAGTCAACTGTCTCTTCAGTGTATGTCTAATTCATCTCCATTTCCTTCAGCAAATATTTTGCGCAGTAGGTTCGTAGTTGCTTCGTCGTCAGAGTTCCTTGTTGTTTATTCTTCCTGGCCAGGCAATCTGATCTCTATCGAACGAAGGCAGTTGTTGTTGAATGCCTGCACTAGCGTGTAGGAAGTGTTTTTGGGGACGCGTCAAGTCGCTGAACCATAAAGAAGCACGAACTTTATACTCGTATTGAAAATCCGAATCTTGTTCCCTTCTCTGAGTGCAGCAGTGCTTTCTTGATCCTGACTTTGCCATCCTCACCTATGCTGTCTGAAATAAGCACCTTCAATTAAAATGAGTGTAATCAACATTGTTTTGAGTCATATTTTAAAAATTGATTTCTTCCTGCTGGTCTTATCGCGCTGATACTTGTATGAAGTGAGACGACTGCATATATTACTAAAAACAGTAGTCAGTGTTTCTATGCTCTGTAACGTGTGACATATAATATAAGAAGTCAATAATATACAAGGTGCGGTTAGCAAAAGTTTCAATGTGAACCCCTGACTTAACTCATGGTGTGCGACAGTAAATAGACTGTCAATAAAATAACACAATTGAAAATTTCGCTGCTAAATATTACTTACTTACAAGTAATATGACGAGAGGTACTGAATAAATGTCATACTCACGATTATAAGTCGTTGTTAACAATCCTCCGACTCTCAGTGTGCTTCTTTTCATGTCTTTATCTCGTGTTTGTCCAGAAGACGAATTTTTTTGATGAAGTTGAAATCACTGTTCATTAACTCATTATCTAAACTTAACTTTTTAACCTTAACCTTTAAGTGGCTTGTGAAATTTTGAACCTCATGCACTGGAATAAATTATTTAAATCGGGTATGGTGTTTGGTAAGTATGTAAAAACACCTACTTTTTGATCATTTTCAAGAAAGGAGATGAGATTCTAAGGTATATCCACTGATTTTTAATTATCCGATAAATAGATATACGCGTTCAATGAATGATAGATTGAAGGGAAAACGACACAACATCGGACTTCTTGTTTCTCACGGTTCATATAATAAGATAAAACATTGAATTGTCGTTAGAATCATTGGTATAAATTTCTGATATTCACGTGGCAGAAGATTAAGATGTTCTGAGGATGGTAGTAAGCTTGCAAAATGAATACTTTAAGAAACTAATAATTTAAATGATTAGAGGATTTTTGTGAAACAATTGGTGGTGACTCGTAGCATCTCAGAAAGGTACCTTTTCCCAAGTGTTTGAAAGTAAAACTGGGCGTATTTTGATTCATGACGGTTTTACAGTAAACAGTGATTTCCTTATTTCACCTTCATTCATGTCAATTCATGAAACTTAAATCACCTTATCTCTTCATTTCATAATAGCATCAAGTAGGTCGAATGTCAGTCTGGTAGCATTCAGTTGGCATCCATCTATTATGAATTGTTTATTAACCTTGGATCGTGATGGTTATATGGATGTAGCTCATCTTGTGGAACGTGCAGCTATTGTAAGTTTATATAAACAAATACGAATGATGTTATATGCATATTTAAGTTAATTCCAAGGAAGCTGATATTCATAGGGAAAAATGTTTCATTTAAATAGTTTTGTTGCCACTTTTTCAAATTGTAGAAATTAACTTCCACCACTCAACAACTGAAACTGTTGAGCAGCTCTGTTCATAAGCCCCGCTGATACTGTCTGACTATTATACAGTTACATTGTTCATTTCACTTCTACACACAAACTAGTTCGCTCACATAGTGTTTGTAACATAGAAGGTACTAAAGTAGGAACGAAGTTGAGTTTTAAATATCCTGTATTAAGTCTTTTCTCTGATCTTTCCTGGTCATACTACATCCTGTCGATTTCTAGAAAAATATTTTGTCTAACCTTCTGCATTAGAAAATATCACTGAACCTATACTTTGGCAATTTGTCAACCCTCTCCTTCTTTATTGCTCCTTCTTAATCTTTTCTGGCCTAACTCTTTAATATTGTCGTTAACAGGCATTTGAAGTCATGCAAGAAATTAACAAAAGTCATCTTGTGGAATTCTCACCACCCTCTTTATTCACAACTCTTCCTTGCCTTTCTTCAAGTAAAACTAGAAGTAATTATAACAGACCATATGCTCGCACAATTAAATATAAAAATTCAACGATACCTTTTTTGACAGGCATTTTATGAGATGAAAAAAGTGTTAGGCATGAAATTTCTTACTTACTGTAAGACACTAATTAAACGGTTCTTTTTATATTTCCTATCATTAATACACTGTTGTCACTTTACATTTCTATATTCATATTTTCCTGCCATTACTTTTGTAACAACAGAAGACAAGGGCCAGGCAACAGATCGTTTATTACGAAAAATCAACACGTATTTATAGATTTTTATGTACATTATTGTAGGTCAATGTTAGTAGAAAATACAGTCTGTTGATTGGTTGTTTCTCACACAAAGTTAACCTTGCATCTCTTGTGGCTGTGTCAGTTCATCTATATGTTAACTGTAACCGCCTGTCCACCTTGACCTTTGACCTCAATTACTGTCAACCAATTTGGCCAGCAACCATCTCACCACAACATGACTCATATTTGATACATAAACATTGACCTCAATTACTGTCCACCACTTGGCTAGTAGACAGCTCTCACCACACTATATCTGTGAGTATTGAAAGGGTTCTGTTATTATTTGTAGCATTACTATGTCATGTAGGGAGGAAATTAGATGCAGTGTTGTACTACATACTGAGAATTGAACTCCGTATCGAAAGTACTACTTGGAATAAAGCCAATATTATTATTGTTGTTACTATTAATATTGTTATTCTTATCGTACTCTGGTTGGATTTATTAACAAACAGCTTGTATAATTCCAGGTTATCAATGGTCACCAGTTATGATGCAAAAGGATGAATATAACTTTTATTGCATAAACACAAAAAACTGAAGAAAATCGGTAATATGTGAAGTATAGTACAGTTGACTAAACATATTTCAAGCAGTGCGTTGAAGTTTTGTTTCAGAATATGCTTTTGGTATACGCGATAAATGCACAAGTAGTTGGGTATTTTGAGAGATGCTTTCTTGGAGGATGGCCACGTATATAGACTTGTGGTACGGTACATCAGTGTACATAGTCATTTCTTCCTCTAGCTGTCCAAAGATTAAAATCCAACCTCGCCTCCTTTTACACTTGTGGACATGTATCCCATTGCTTTAAGCACTCAATTTCCAGTTAATTAGACCCCGGGATTCAAATTCCGCTCTACCTACTTTAGTTGGGTAATATCATCAGTTTTCATATACCGTATGTGTGCCTCATAGTATGGTAAATGAAAAGTTTGTTCCAGGTAACGGATTTCTAACTGTCTTACATTTACAAGTATTTCCGTTGATCTGTCTGATTGTCATAGAGGCGAACAAATTTCACCATTAACTCTTATCATATCGGTGTATTTCCTTTCATATTGTTACGTTGTGGTTAGTTCCAATTACATGTAAAGCTCTTAATTACACTTTAAACTTCATTGGATATCATTTTGATATCTATCTCAGACATAACTTGAGCATACTTATTATTATATTTAGATTTCTGTTACTGTGTATAAGTTAGAAAAGTTGGGTGTTTAATTTTCGCAATAAAGTCAACCATCTAGTTTTTTGATCAAGAGTGTGGAGATAGTAAATTTTAGGTTTAGAACAATCGTTTTCCCTTCAATCATTGAGATATAACTGCTCACTATACTGTCTGCTTTATTTCAGAGGGTGGCTTCATCTCGGTAGCATAGCGGTTAGGACGCTCACCGACCATGCACATGGTCCGGGGTTCGATTCCCGGTCGATGCACACTGGATATCTATGATTGGCCTGCTAAATTTGGGTTACGGGTATCACATGATGAAAATTCCATACTTGTATCAAAAAATACTGTGTGGAGTCAAGCTATAATAAAATAAAGAAAAGGAATTAATACACCTTTTCAGAATTCTATTTATCTCTTTTATATCTAAGATATTTGATATGATTAGCTCCCTTCGATTTCATTCTTTTTCAATGCTTTCATTTATTACTTTGTTTTCCCACATTCTGTTCAGGGTTGGTCAGCTAATCAAACATTGGTTTGGTCCTACGGTTGTGACTGGACTGCCTTCAGCTTAACAGGAATTACTAGCAGTAATTCAGATGCATTGATGGAATTTCTGAACTCTTTTGAAACTAAACACTTAGAAAAGACCAGCAGTACGAATAATAATAATAATAGTAACAGTAATACTAATCATGTTTCATCGAAAACATCTGATATAAAATATCAGAATACTAAAGACAAAGATGATATGAATACATGCGATGATTGTAAAACACAAACAACTCTCTTCTCTGAATTGAAACAAACTCTGGAATCAGATATCTCAGTTGTTATGCAAAAACGTGCCGAACTTGGATATGGACTTGATGTAAGTTATGACCATTTGAAGCTTATGGCAAATTCTTAACATTTATTTTTATTGTAATTTCCCTTATAAGTATAGTTTCATTGACCAGATTGAAGAGTATCTACCCAAGGGAACGAAATGACATCAAGATGCGTAACTGACTGACTGGCTTCAATTCAGAACTTTGCACAGATGTGCATCAGTTCAAATTGCCGCACTCCATGTAGCACACAAAGCAAGAGAAGAAAGTAGAAGAACTGCATAATAGAGACAGAAAACCGAGATATAAGGCAAAAAGAATAGTAATATTGGGTATTATAAGCCGCAAGGAGTGGATGCATCTGTGCCATTGAGAACGATTTTGAGCCATGTCACCAATTGTTTCCAGCCATTGGTGGTTTTTACCGTCCCGAGAACCCCATTGAGGAAGTCTACACCTTCCTACGTGGCTTAAACTAACTGTTGTGGATTTCATTGACTGGTGTCATGTTTTGGTTTGACCGCCGCTAGCTCTTTTCCAGCCTGACCCTATGTCAGCTAACATTGCCCGTCGGGGAAGGCGATGACTAGGCATACGTAGCACATGTCCTAACCATCTCAGTCGATGTAATTTCACAACCTCGTCTTTTGATTTCCCCTCCTTATCTAGCACTCGACGCCTAACCTCAATATTGCTCACCTTATTATACCACTTCACACGGGAGATAGAACGCAGGCACCTATGATGACAGCGTCATCATACATTTCATAGGTGTGAACGTATATCAAAGATATTCAAATTTTTGCTGAACAAATTCACAAGAATTTTCTCTTTTTCCGGTTTGTTCACCCTCTTTTGTGTACTCCGAGTTAAAGTAACTCTTTTAATGATTACAACTAAAGTTGATTCGTCGGTATATTTAGAAAAATTAGTTATCGGTGATATTGGGTATCTATGGCGAATATGTGGCTATTTATATCAGTAAAAAGTTTGAGCATTGTGGATTAGATCAAATAAAGTATAATTATATTTTAATAGTTTACACTCATTGTATTGTGCCTCCCCACGGAAATCTTTAGTAAAAGGCGAAAGATTTATCCGCAAATGAGGAGACACCAGAGTTATTACTTCGACTGAGATGGTTAGGACATGTGCTACGTATGCCTAGTCATCGCCTTCCCCGACGGGCAATGTTAGCTGATATAGGGTCAGGCTGGAAAAGAGCTAGCGGCGGTCAAACCAAAACATGGCACCAATCATTGAAATCCACAACAGTTAATCTAAGCCACGTAGGAAGATGTAGACTTCCTGGTTGGGGCCCTCGGGATGGTAAAAACCAATGGTTGGAAACAATTGGTGACATGGCTCAAAATCGTTCTCAGTGGCGCAGATGCATCCACTCCTTGTGACTTATGATTTCCAATTAAACTTTTGTTCTCCGTTATTACTATTCCTTTGTCTCACACCTCTGTTTACTGTCTATATTATGCATTTCTTCTACTTTCTTCTCTTGCTTTGTATGCTACATAGATTGTGGCGACTTGAACTGCCGCACATATGTGCAAAGTTCTATGTCGAAAACCGACCGACCGAATAGTTTACACACAATGATAAGTTTTGTTATTGGTAATATTTCGAGCAAACAATTCCAACACTGGTGTGAACACGGGCAGTAATTTTGCTCGAAATATTACCAATAACAAAACTTATCATTGTGTGTAAACTATTAAAATATAATTATACTTTATTTGATGTGGCTATTTTTCTTTCAGATTACAATTCTTTATAATCTCTTATTTGATTGCATAGATCCAACCAAGGTGTTTTGACAAGCATACCCTCCTGAAACGGTTCATAAACAGATATTTCCAAAATTCTTTTTCACTTGATTGACGAAACTGACTGTTGACTTACAAAAGAGAAACAGAATAAATATCGGATCCCAGTTATTATATTTGTGTTGCGACAAACAGTGGGCAATGAGGAAACAGGCATAAAATGGACTGACACAAAACTTCGCTCAATACTCAAGATCAGATGGCCAGAAAAGATCAGTAACAGAGATATCTGGCAATGAGCGAACCAACCAGGAACCGATTGTGAAACAAATAGGCAGGAAGAAATGGAGATGGATTGGCCATACTCTTAGGAAACCATCAAGTGACATCACTAGACAAGCCATTGCTCGAATGGAATCCGAACGGGAAGCGGCGAGTTGGTCGTCCAAGAGTGACTTAGAGGAGGTCATGTGAGGAGGAGATGAAAGCGTGTGGGCAGACTTGGAGCCAGGTGAAGACTCTAGCAGAGAATCGAACGCAATGGAGACGCACGGCTGAAGCCCTATGTTCCTCTAGGAATTAAAGGAAACAATAATATAATAATAAATCTGTTGAATGGTAAAGGTTAGGTCCGTACAATTGGCACTTGTGTTACAGTTGCGTGCACTCACTTAAGAGCTGACTCAAAATATCCATCGATTGTAAGCCTAGAAATCGGTGGGTAAGTGTGACAACCCTGAATAAATAACAAACACCGTGACTTTATTACATATCTGGTTGTACTATGCTTATAACTTTTATAACATTGATAATGAATTATAGTCTCATTTTTATGCAGACTAACAAGTTGTGTGTATTCATCATCTTACTCTACAGGCTGAAGGCGCCACGTATGTTGATATTGTCAAGGATGATGCTCAACTGAGGACAATGTGGACGTGGATTAAATGTAACTTCATTTGTTGTCTGTTGCTTATCATCAATGAATTTATGAAATTTTCATTGGTTATTACTTCTCAATAGTAGTTTCATTAATATAAATGAGTGGGAACCTGCTTAAGGAATTGGATCAATCTTATCGCTTTACAGTTTAGGGGACAGTCGCCTTAATCATTGTCGTGCAATGTTTGCTAATTTATCGTGAATGATGGGTGTTTTTTTTTAGAGATAATTACTGTAAAGATGGTCATCATTGTCTGTGGACGTAACCTAATACTCTATCAGTTTCTGTTGCAGACGGTAGAATCCTAATAATAATAACAACAATAATATAGCTTCATTCTGAACACTGTTTGTGCAATGTACAGAATTTCCAGCAGAGTTTATTGCATGATATTTTATCTTTGTCCAGGATCTTCCAGTAAAAGATTAATTGACAGTAGATCGTGTGACACAGCTCTATCTGACCTGAAGCGCAAACCAATCCATTATGATATCTCTTCTTTTTTCCTTCGAGAAATACACGACATTTTTTGAATGCCAATTATAAAAGGTTCAGGAATAAGCTTTGTGAACCAAAGACACCACCCGTGTAACGGTCATCTCATGTACTGGGATAAGCTGCCATCGAGGACAATGCTTTTTTCACGTTTAGTAGAAACTTGCGAATAAGCAGGTTGTAAGTGTTTTAAGTACTCTCCAGAGTAAACAACACTACTAAAAGTCATACTTTACTAGATTTAGAGAAATTGAATAATAGAAATTATATGCAATATAATGATGGAGGTTTCCGGTAGCCCAAGTTCGAAGCACGCCGTCTAATATATACCAAAGTACTGTCATAAGCGGACATCAGTTAGAGAACCATTGGAAAACCTAGGAGTACTGGACAGCCTTTTCGTCTTAGTTCGGGACTCTTCATCAGTAGCATTCGCCGCGGTTCGGACCCAGGACCTTTCGGTTACAAGGCGAGCTCGTAGACCATTAAGCTATCATTAAACCATCAATCCTTTCTGAAATACAGCGCCAAAACTGGTGCATCCTAATCTTATTATACACTAAGCTGAAGGTGAATGAGAGGAAAACAAAGAATGGAAATCAAGCAATCTAAGTTGCTAAATCGTATAAAATAGAGTAAAAGGACATAAAATAAAGAAATGTAAAATTATAATAAGTAAAATAACGGCTTGAGTGTGTATACTCCACTGCAGTCTGTTTGAAGCTATATAACTCAGAGTATTTATCGACACTGTCCGGTTTTTACTTAATGTTTATCAATGAGGAGTGGAAACTAATGAATGACCTTGTGAAACTCCATCATTTGACAACACTCTTATATTTGTTACACACGCATTGGCTTTCTTGTCTAGATATGTTAGCTGAATTAGAAGTAGTTTGGAAAAGAGTTAGGTGCAGGGAGAACCATACATGACACTAGTCCATAAAGTGTTTGGCTGTTGACATGAACCACGTAGGAAAGTACAGACTACCTGACTCGGATCTTCGGGATGCTAAAAATCAACAGTTTGAGACTTTTAGTATCAAAGCTCAGAATCTTTTTCAGTAGTGTAGATGTAAGTATTTCGATTCTGAAAGTTCTCGCTAATATCCATCAAATTATTGTAACAACAGAAGACAAGGGCCAGGCAACAGATCGTTTATTAAGGAAACCAAAGCATATTTATATATTTCATGTACATTATTATAGTTTAGTTAAGCAAACAAACACAGTCTTCTGATTGGTTGTTTCTCACTAAGTAATCTTCACTTTGTGACTTTCTAATGTCAATCATCTGTATGTTAACTGTATCCGCCTACGCAAAGTCTGCTGTGGTCGGTTTTGAATCAATCTTTGTTCATATTTTCTCACGACAAATCTTGAGAAGGTAAACATTGACGTAAATTACTGTCTACCCATTTGGCTAGCAGACAGCTCTCACCACAACACTATCTCATGTACTTCTTCGTTCATTGTTGTCTCATTACGTTTCTTATCTCTACTCCTTTGAAGTGTAACAACCTAAATGAGGCATTTTTATGCCAATTTTTTTTAATTGATAAGTCAATTAGGATTTTAACCAAATGTGTCTCAGTTCTGACTCATTTTGTGGTCTAAGTACTCCTAACTCTTTACCAGCTTTGTTATATTTCACATGCTAATATTTTTCTGGGTAGGAGCTAGCCTAATGTAAGTAGCACATATCCAAGCAACTGCAATGAATTAAGATTCACAACCTCTTGATTACTTGTCACGTAGCGATAAATGCATCTGTGGCCACAAACTCCCTCATACCTGCTTCTTTTAGTGTTCAAATCTCACAGCCTTAAAGAAGTTCAGAGACAACTGTTGCCTACTGCATACAGCATTTAATAGTTAGCTGGATGTCACTCCTCAGCCAAAGATGATACTGGTTGGGAAATGTGAAATGATCCTTTTGAATTCATGATGCAACTTCAGGTCAGTTGGAGGCAGTTTTCATGACCACTGCCACATTTAGTGAATTGACGCTGACGTTTTGTTCAAAGTGGAGTCGGATGGTTGCAACTGTCGGCCAGTTGTATTCGCTGTAGCTTTTCCGCATCCATTCAGTTTTGACCTCACACATTTATTGCGAAGTTTGATTACTTTTTGCTTTCTTTCAGTTTAGTCTAATTTAAGCAAACATAATACGGTAATTCAGGCATTGACGTACTCATCAACCTATATTACGCACAACTTAGATGATGAAAGTGTATGACTTCCGTGGTTGACCTATCTATTGGTTTGGTGCTTCATGGGACTATAGCTTCTGAATGTCGTTGATTGCTGAAAAGTAGAGCGGAATTCGGATAAGATTTCAGTACGCACGAAAATGAATACTCAGCTATCTCACCCTTCTTTCCTTTATTTATTTATTTATGTCATTATGTGAAGCCGTTTTTTTGACGCCTGTACTGTACACCGCTTTGGTTATGTTCACGTCTTTCCTTAATTTTCTTGTATTTTAGATATCAATGATTATATGGATGACTCCTTGATGAGACGTCGCTGTAAGTTTAAAAAAACAACTATTTTCTTGTATTCACAATAAATTCAAAACAAACAATCTTATTTATTTTGAGGTGGAAGTATTGTTATTAATATCGAAAGTAGAAGGAATCATTATTTCACAGTAAGATTCAGTAATTTAGACTTTTACTTATGCACCTAAAAACATGAAACATTTCACCTGAATAAAAAAATTCGACTTTGTAGTCTTATACTTACCAAAAACAGCCACTTTTCTTTTCAAGTATGTTTATCGATTTCTCAATCGTAAAACCAGGGCAATATTCAGTAGACACTTTGCAAATCAGATAACGAATTGAATACCACGAACTTTACAGCCCTTTGAATTGCTTCACATTTAAGTGGATTTGTGGCTCATTGGCTCTAGCAACTGGATGGTATCATCAACCCTCCTAAATAAAAAGTGTGCCTCATAGGCTGGCACCGGCTAACTGAGTTCTAACCAATCAATCAAGTGCATCACGGAATTTTTCTAGGAAGAGAAGTGATTCTATCATTGTTGATCGTACTAGTTTTAATCGACGTAATCTATTTTATAGACAGTGTATTGTAGGCATGTCCCTATAGACGAGTGGTGCTATTTTTTCGTTGTGTATAGGTGTAGAAAAACTTTGGTGGTTTTGCCTTGAGCATCAAATGAAAATTCTTACTAATAGCTATAGTTGAACGATGCTTATTTTTGAAATAATAGATATTTGTAGTTCAAGTGGTCAATTTCGGTGTAGTTTTAGTTTATGAGCTGGGTGGTTTAATTGCCAAGCTTTCATTATCTTGACAGACAACCTCTTCAGTGCAAATGTCAATAATATGAAGTGAATCTATTTGAATTCTCCATGAATGATATAATGGTGTCTCCTGACAACTTTGTTGTAATTAGTTGTTAATTTGCATTGGCATTTATCGTTATTATCGACTTGGAGTTTGACGCTTTTATCATGTGGCTCATTGTTTATTAGTTGATAAATTTGATTTATAATAATTGTGTCTGTGTTGATCACTGATTCGTCTGAGTACTAGATTTCAAGGAATTCCCTGGCATTTCGAGTGTTTCTACTGTTGAAAATCTCGACATTTTCCCAGTCACATTAATGTCCATACTTGTCTACTTGAAAGAATAATTGTCGTGTCTTTTGACAACTATTTTCTATTCTTAGATTTAGAGTTGAAGGGGATGCCATTGTGACCTCAATACAGTTCATATCACAGTTCTTTTTTAACTGGCTAGAGTGTTTGGCCTTTGAGTAAATGTTTTTGTGTGTAATTCCTTGGGAAACGTTTTGCTTCAATTCACCCATGAAGCATAATATTTAAATGAATAAATAGTCTCCCTTCACACTAAGGGCGGTACTTGGTTAAAGTGTCCCACCTGGTGATCAAAATCAGATTTCACATTTTTCATTTTACCAACTGTGCATTGTAATTTCCGATCCTTTAATTCATTCACAGTGTATAATATTCCAGAAAAATGTCACTGAATTTCGGTCGTTTTATTTTTTTTTAAATTTTTATTTCAGTAGAAGTTGAATCATCTCAGTCGAATTTCCCAAGCAACCAACGGGATGGCGGTAGCACTTCCATCTCCAGACGCCGTGTACCATCAAGGTGTTTAGGTGTAATTTCAGTTCTGTGTGAAAATCCTTTATCACCTGGTGCTACATTTACAAGTGAAGTTATCGAGCACGTTGAATGGCAGGGAATAGATGCTAAGTTACCATTCTCACGATACTGGAGTCCTGAAAGGTACTTTCTTGTAAAATGCTTTGTTTTTGAAATTTAGTATGATATCCCTTAAAGGTTTTAGAAAACAAAACATTTGTATCACAACATATGTGAGCCGTTGTGTACTGAATGACTGAGTTTCAACATGGTAATTTGCACAGAACTGCACCAGTTCAAGTTGCCATACTACCTATGCCACACAAAGGTAGAGAAAAGAGAGATTCAAGAGGACTATTTTAGGTAGCAAAGTGTGGGAGAAAGAATAGTAACACGGAAAAACATGAGGATTTAATGGACCTGGGAGATTATCAAGAATGAATGCATCTGCGCCAGCCATTGAGAACGATTTTTAGCCCTATCACCAATAGTTTCTAGCCATTGGTTATTAACATCCTGAGGACCTCAACCAGTCAGTCTATATCTCGCCAGGGTGGCCCATACTAACTGTCAAAGGCTTTGTAGACTGATTTCAGGTTTTGGTTTAACCACCCTTAACCCTTTTCCAATCTAGTCCTATGTCAGTTAACATTGCTCTTGAGGATAGCGATGGCTAGGCATGTGCGACACGTGTCTTAGCCATCTCATTCGATGTAGCTTCATAAACGCATATATATCATAAGGCGATGGGACTGCCCAGCAAGAAGAGCTGGTGATGTAATTAATGTTTTCGACTTCGGACCCACTAGAGGAAAATTACATGTTTACGAGTTATACCAAAGTTACATTTAGACAGTAAAAATATTGACTTGTGCTATATGCATTTAGTCGGTGACCATTCATCTTCAAATTTAAGCTTATATTAAACTGTGGTTATGCCACACACCAAGCGATTCACAATGGAAAGATCAGTGAAGAGTTTGAAGTGGAGAGACAATTAAGACAAGACTGTCTACTGTCACCGATGATATTCCTGATTGTGGTGATGCAACAGACCTTGGATAGCGAGAAGACAAGAATACGTTGGACCGACAAAATGACTTTAGAAGACCTGTACTTTGCGGTTGATTTATATCTGATTTCACAGAAACCTCCTACAGGTGAAACCAACAATCTGGTAATAGAAAAAGCGAAGAAAGGATTTCAAGTGCACATAAAGATACCTAACCACCACCTACAATCACTGATCACCATCACTGGGAGAGGTCTAAAGAAAGTCATCTCATTCACTTACCCAGGCAGCATCGTTTCAATTACTGGCAGCACGGGATGATCGGCAAAGCAAGACAAACATTCATTGGTCAGAAATCAGTGTGTAATTCTCCTACACTCATCACAAAAAACAGCATCCAAATTTTCAACATCAATGTATAGTCTATGCTTCTATATAGTGCGTGCGCGCCTATACGCTAATACAGATTTTCATCGGCTGCCTTTGCTCCATACTAAACGTCATATGTCCAGAAAGGATAAGCAACAAGGAACTCTGGTAGAAAAACCAGCCAAGAACTTATCGCTTAACAAATATGCGGAGAAAATGTAGATGGATTGAACATACATTAAAGATACCGTTGAGTGACATCACCGCGTCTGGCAGTCAAGTGGTAACTTGGGCGTGACATGATGGGGATTGTGTAACGAAATGGAAACTTGTAGGCAATTGTGTTGCCAACTGGAAAAGACTGAAAAGAAGAGATTAAAATGTACATATGCCGCTAAAGTTTTAAATTGCACTAGGAACTCAAGAAAATAATTATTTCGTTATGATATTAGATGGACAGTTACGCATGATTTATTTACATACTTGATGATTGAAATGAAATGACTTTGTTAGCAGCTCATAGAGTTCAGCTACTGACTGTTAATCTTCATGCCACTAATTTTAATCCTGTCGTGATCCAGGTCTTCGTTTTATTTACACAACTGTCAATAGTAATCTGTCGATCCCAATCAATCAGAGGTAGTCCCAGTATCAATTAAGTTTTTATCTTAAACGCATTATCAATGATAATGGGTGTGAAATCTGTATAGTCTTTGTCTAGAAAGTATAATCCTTTATCGTAATATATTACCCTAGAGTGTTTTCTCCACGATTCTAAATAAACTAGTTGTGAAATGCTGAATTCAATGAACTATTCTGACTCTACATAAACTGAAAAGGTTACGATGAAATTTTTCCGGTGTTTTGTGGTTTCTTACACGGCTACGGTAAAGTTTTGACTATTTTCCCTAATTTTTTATTGTATTATATAGTTGAATTTAGTACAATACTTGGGTATTGTTACCACGTTGTTTCACATTCTTACTTTGTTAATTAAAGAATGGAGCTAGAATTTTAGAGAAGAGTTCGGGTTTTATAGTAAAATGTAAATCTACTTAAGGTATACCTGAACAGTAAAGCATACAGATAGTGTTATTTGATAAATGACATTTTAGGCTGATTGGCTTAAGCACTTAGTTCTCTACTTCTGGGTCACGGGTTCGCATCCCGCTCCACGTAATTCAGCCTGGACAACTGGGTAGTATCATCAGCGCTTACACGATAAGTGTGGCCTAGTATGTGGAGAATCTGTTTCAGATAACTGAGCTTAAACAGGTGCAGTTGATCCCCGATAATCCTATGAGTTAGATACATAAACATACGCGTATTCCCCGTCATGAATTGGAGTAAAGGAAACCGTACAAACCGTTGTGTTTTCTTTATTTAAAGAGTTATGCATGCTCACTTTTTCTCTTCTGTACTTCACACTTGGGAAATAGCTTTAAATGATAAATTTACGTTAGTGTTGCTCAAAATTTGTTTTCACTTCCTCATTATAGGTCACGTGTTCTTCGTCTGTGTATGTGGCCGTTGGATGATACAGATGTTGTGCAACGTCCGGTTTTTGAAAGGTTAGTGTTATCTTATAGCTTTACAATCCCACATCCCGTTGAATATTTATTCTGAATTATTTTGAATTTGATAATAAGAGGATTATGTACTCTAAATGGATGAGCTAATATTATCAAGCTGTCTTAACATTTATCTTCACAACTAGTAAAAGTTCGGCAATCAAATTGTAAATCTGTTGAAGCATCGTTGAAACTCGGCCCGAAATGTCAACAGATACTGGATATTTTAGTGAATTAAAGTCACTCGATGAGAAATCCTAAATAATAATTTCAACAACTTTTACCCATTGTATAAGAGGCGACTCTAGTGGCACATTGACCTAGTGGGATAGTGCTTTGGAGTTGGACACGAGTTTCACTGGGAACACCATTACTAATTGAGAATTTAGGCACGACTAGCGGCTGAGAAACAAAAAGAAATAAACGCGTTTCTGGATTCCACTAATTGCCATCATCAGCCAAAAAAGTGTAAATCTCCTTTCACGAACCATAAACTAATCTACTAACTGCTTCGTCGGTCAACAAAACGAAACGTTATAGTAATACGTAGAATCGAAAACATCAGGCGCTTCCGAGTTATGATAATGTAAACAAGTCAAAGACAATCCAGCGAAGAAAATTTTCTTTATCGACGAAATCATCCTCAGAAGCTGTACATTCGTATTTATACTTACCAAAAATGTATAGTAGTCCATTATTGAGTAATAGGGGTGACATAATTGATACAATGACTTAGAAGTAGCTTCAAAAGTAAAAATAAAAGCTATAAACTACGTAATACTCAACGGCACAAAGAAAGAAGGCGTTAGAAATTTGATAAGGTTAAAATTGTTATTGAGTGAGAAGAAAGGTAGTTGAGTGTCCATTTAAAGTGAAGTGTGAAGACGGTGAGGAAATGTACAAAATAAGCATGTGAGAGTAATAATAGTGAATTAGATGAAGTAAAAGCAAAGTAATCATTAAAAATAAAATATTTACAGGGGACAACTAATGGAGAGATTAAGAGACTGGACAAACTTTTTCTGCATACAGAGTTCGGGATTGTACTGGCGAATTGCCAACGCCTCTGCCATACACAAATGTCGAAACCTGATGCCCTTTGTACCATTTGGTATCACCCTGTAGATAATCTTGAAAAACGACTCTGGCGGTATCTTGTTCTTAACGTTAGATTGGACAAATTGTCTGCTGGAGAATGTGATGCGTAAGGTTGCTACTTGAAATGTCTTCTTCAGACATTTAGAAAGGCGGTTTCAAGAATTTCAGCTTCAATATCACGTTTGAATTCCAGGCTCACCAAGACAGTTTTCTTAGGAACAGTTGTGATTTTTGGCGATGGAGGTTTTTCCTGCATGTTTTTGTCGGTGAATCTTTGGGGATATCCGTCCTCTAATAAGGTTTCACGTAATGAATTTAATTGGTTTAATGATTCCTTTGCTAAATGTAATTACGATTGTACAACTGATGAAAATAAAGCGTCAAAAAGATTTGCTTCGTTGTTTACGTCTTTTTCTTATGACTAGAAGAGTGTTAATCTAAATGATCAGTTTCCTTTAGACTGATTACCAAACAGAATACAGTGAGGATTAGCTCCTAAAATTTAAATATCACAGCTTTTTGCTTCCATCTTCGCTATTACTTTACTTCTTCTTCTATTATGAAGGTTATTCCACATACGTCTCTTTCTATTGTAATTTAAATATCATCAGCAAATACCAACCATTGTTAGTTTATTTGACATTGTTTATTTTCATTCTATGCTGCCGTGAATATGGATAACTATTTTTACATTCATTGTAAAGCTTGTGCTCAGAAGGACAATACGAACGAGCAGCTGCAATGGCCTTAATGAATTTAAAATTTGACTGGGCCTTGAGTTTTTTGAATAGAGCATCTTCAGGTAATTGAGCTGTTTTTAATTCATTTTTGTTTCGGAAATGTTTAACTCGTTTTATAAGATAAAGTATGCAGTTGTCTCTGTTATTAAACGTAATACCTTAAATCCCATAGATTAACTCTTTTACTGAGATCTATCTGCTTTACTTTTTATACTGAAATGATATTGTGATGTATACCACTGACTAGTGTTTGTAACGTCTTTAAAAAGTGAAGTGACGGCAGTTTATGGTAGCATTGGAATGTTTAAGAGAAGCGTATCATGAAAAAGAACCTTGTAAAGTGATTGAATAAATTTCGCAGTCCAACGGAAAGAAAGCTAGCACTTTTGAACTCGCGGAATAAATGGCTGGGTGCGTAACATAATTTTTACATACTTCTTATTTTTACTCGGCGCCTAACTTTTGTGTAAAAAACCCAGTGAAATCTTAATCACAGTTCGTATAAAGTAAGTTTGCAGATTCTAAATTATTGGATGCTTTGCATCTAGGTCAGAGTGTAGTTTCAAATTTTTTTCTTCATTGATCGTATTCCAAGTGGAACATTGGACTCCAATCTGTTGAAGTTCCAGTAGCTGTAGTGTTGTTTTTTATAGGGTGGGATTGCTACCCTCGTGTCCAACCTTCCCTCTTTTATGGGCTAGTAAATTGTGTGCGGTTTATCAGTGCGTTGGCCAGCAACTGGACTCGGACGCCATGCGTGGATGGCGAGCATTCTACTATTACCGAACCGCCGATGCTTACTTTCAAACTGATTAATTTCATAAGTAAAAATACAGTTCTTTTGTTTAGCGAAGGAATTTCTTTTCAACGACTTCATTTTCATATATGCATATATATGTATATTGACTGAGCAATTATTTAGTGCCAATTAATAACTTTTTCTGTGATATAAATAAGACTGTATAGCTTCAAAATGAAGTCGTTGAAAAGAAATTTCTTCGCTGAACAAAAAAATGTTTTTTTGCTGATGAATAAATGGGTATTTTTCGTGATTAATTTCATTTAGACATTTGAATTCATTTCTGCAACTACTTGAGATCATTAGTATTTTGATGAAATTTCTTGTTAAATCGGCACATCAAGGATCCTACGTCTGAATGTCATGTCCATAGATAAGAGAAACACATTTTGTAGATGCTTAAAGTGCATTTCATGAATAACTTAAGACTCATTGGTGTTCAGTGTAATTGTTTATCATCGTAGGAATCAAACGGTTCAGGGAATAGATTTAGGTTGCAATTGGAAAGACTACTGATCATTTTGTGTTTCATGTTGAAGAAGCAAAGGCACATGTTGATTTCAAAAACCTGTAATACTGCTTCAAATAAACAATGAAATCCTTTTTATTACATTAATAATGGTTTTATCGTCTCAGTGTTATAATCCATCATTTCATGCATCTTGCTATTGTATTATTTCTCACCTTCGTCTATATTTTGTTCTTCTTTCTTTACCAATGTTAAAGATTCTGATATTGGTTTAGTCGCGTTGGCTTTGGCTGGCTATACGGATACACGAAATGAATTATGGCGAACAACATGTGCCAATCTAATAAAGCATGTTCAAAACCCTTACCTACGTGTCATGTTCATGTTTTTAAGCCGTCAAGGCGGAGATTTTGAACCGATATTGGTAGGTGTATTTCAGATTTCTGCTGTAATATGTAGATTTATGTGGAGGACAACACAAGCTTTCCTCGTTATTGTTTGTATTGTTTTTTTTAATCAGGTCTCTTATTGTATATTTTAGTATTGGTGTCGTAGTGTTATATTCACTTGTATATTATCAGTTATTTTGATATCACTTATCTTCACATCAGAAGTGAAATTTCAGGATCAGTATATGAACCCTAAAATGACTGTTAGATTTGTGATAATTGTAAACACTTCACTAAGTAAATATGCTTTTATTGTGTATGTAACACCCATTATTATTATTACCATATTATTACTGTATAATTCTTAATACTGATTGAAGACGTTGCTCACTTGTCTGTGCACTCGACTCCAGATGATGTCCTTACTCTGTGCCTTTTACTGAAGTTTCTGCAAGCATTGGTGCTATCATAGCTAACTACTTGTTAGATAACACTTTTCTTGTTATCTCACTCCTTATAAGTGAATGGTTTCTTCTCTCTCCTTTTTGTAGAATGATGATGCTCTATGCCTTATCGATCGAGTTGCTTTTGCTTGCCTATACCTGAATGATGAAAGTGTAAGTCAAAAATTGTTATTAATATTCATTATTTTTTAATTGTTAATAACTCTTAATTGCATACTAAATAAGTTTGTTTGATATAACACATAGTGATACTACACTAATGTTAGGTGGGGATGTTCTAAATACCCTCCGGCTAATAGCAGTTTATCAGTGTGTCTTAATATCAGGCAAACTTGTTGAACATCTGTCAATATCAACTCTTACATTTATGACCCTTAGTAATATTACACTCCAGGTTCTTGAGTGGAACCCAGATAGGATGCCATAGGTAACATGGAGAAAGCTTGTAGACAGTCGTGGAGCTGGTTGAAACTGATGTGTAATAAGCAAGTGATTCAGAAAATGTTTTCTAATACTGATGGATATTTCAACAATTGTAGGTGAATTATTTGTCAGCATCGTAGGCTTTTTAAAAGTTTCCACTTGAGGCTTTTTCTTTTCAGTCTACTATAGAAACCAATTAATTGTAGATGTCATATTTTTATGTTCATGTCTCCTTCTTCTGTACTGTTAGGAAGTGTTGCAGCTTGGATTGACACACTTTATTGGAAGATTCAACCTTTTCTATCGGTCTTGAAGATATATTTCATCATAAACTGACATTGGCTAGAGAAGCATTAAGAACTATGGAGCTTTAGACATTTGTTTCGTCCTAGTTTGAGGATGTTCAATAGTACACACCCACAACCTCCCAAGCGATCGAACCTAGGTTCCAATCATGTTACCATTCACCTACTGCGTCATAATTGTTATTTCAGGCGATTTACACTGTAATATCGTCCAATGTTGTCATTGGCATGTATCTGTCGTAACAAGCGATTTGTTAGATACCATCAAGGACAACTCATTAGAATTCAAAAGTGAGAGTAGTAATAGCAACAATTGACTTAATAAGGAAGAGTATACAAATTGAATAGACAAAAGTGAAAAAATTGGTAGAGCTAAAATATGATTGGGGATTACCATACTTTAGCATAGAGGAATTAAGACCATGAAAGTTGGAGGGGTTGAACGAACTTTTTCTGTGCACAGAGATCTGAATTTTCTGTTTCGATAGCCAAAGCTTCAGCAATACAGATGAGTCGGGCACGTAGGGATTTGGGTAAATTACTCTTTGCCTTCTAGATGATTTTGAAGGCAGAGGCTATAGAGATAGGGTGATCATTATTGACCAGATGTTCAATGATCGCGCTTCTTATTGCTCCACTTCCACCTTTTCGTAACCATGCAGGATAGTGTTCTTGCACCCTCTTGGACAAAACTCGTGTCGAACGACCGATATACATAGCTCCACACGAGCAGGTGAATTGATAAACGCACATAGAGTTGGTCAACAGCGGGATCTTGTCCTTCAGGTTATTGAACAATAATGGTCGACTAGTAAAGGCTATTCTCAGGGATGCAGCAGGGAATGTTCTTTTCAGGGATTGTGATATCCTTCGTTTCATGATATCAGAAGCTGAGTCCCCTTTGAATTCCAAGCTCATGTAAAGTATCTTCTTGGGTACGGTTGATAAGTTACGTTTTTTAGGATTTGAGTGTATATTCTTATCTATGAAATGTGGTGGAAATCCATTTTCTATTAGGATTTTCCTCAAGATGTATAACTCATCTTCCACAGTATCAGGGCTACATATGCGCCGAATACGAGTGGCAAGCGACCGGATCAGGTTTCGTTTTCGACCAATGGGTACCCAGCTGTAGAAATTTGTCAGCTGACCATTCCATGACAGCTTACGATAAATCGGTCTTTTCAGAGTTCTATCGGTCCTTCTTGATAAGTTCACATCGAGGAAATGAATGCTAGACTCGTTCTCCATTTCGAGTGTGAATTTTATCGCCGGATGGCAACCATTAAATACATCTAATATATTATTCAAGTTACAATCACTATTACAAATAATAAAGGTGTCATCTACATACCTTTTATACATCTGAAAGCTTTGGATTATAGGCTTCAGCTGATCATTTTCTAGACTGTTGCTATTACTACTCTCACTTTTAATTGTCCTCGGTTTTATTTCACTTGTTCCACTTGTCATTCTAAATCATTAGAATTCCACGAATTCCATTGCGTAGTTATTCACTAAGAAGGAATTGATTATCTCTCTAGTTTTGGGTTTATGCTGGTTTGATCGGTTTCTTGGTAGGTTTTAAAATGAACTAGTATCAGTCAGTGAGCTATTGAACAGCGAGAAATTACTTTCTGTCTAAATTTGCCTAATAAATTAGGTGGTGTGATAGACAACCTAAGTTTTTTTAAATGTAAGCTAATGCAAAACACTTAGATTTTAAGTTAGGTGATTCAGAATATAATGAAGTCACTTCTGTAAACTATTGCTTATATCCAATGTGATTCTAGCGGCGTTCTGATATCCTTGTTTTAAATCACTTGGAAATTTGCACCATAGTATATTTAAATTTCAACTGAAGCATCAAATGCGCCGATTCACGTGTGCATGTATATCACTTGGTATCTAGATAAGAATTAAACATTCTACTCTGGTATTCTCTCATTGAGTGTCGAGTAGAATATGGACTTCAAGTACTAAACTTTAAAGTTTTAGTAGCAGTGATGTCGTTTATGCAAGGTCAGTTTGCTAGCCTCATGCCAAGTCTTCCCTCTTTTCCGGGTATATCACTGTAACAGTAGATGATAAGCGAATCGGTAACGCACCTTTAATAAGGAAATCAACTTTTTTTACATTCCTAACCCCATGAAAGTTAGGTAAAATCAGAGGCGAATCAGTTCATCTGGTTGGTCTGCGATTGACCCAAGGTTAAAGGAGTTGTTCAGTTAAGTTATTTCATGTCTACAACGTAAATCCAGCTTTGAGGAATAGACATTCCTGCCTCTGCAGCCATTGACTTGAATGAAATGTTGATTTCAGTTTTCGCCGCTTCCTATCAATCTGCATCACTCTGCACTGCCAGCTAGTAAAACTGGTCAGGTTCAGGAGTGTATCAGTTGTGAATTAATTATAAGCCTGGTATAGCCAACAAGGAAATTTCTGATGTCAAAATGAAAACAAAAACCTTTTAGGGTGATTTTGTGTTTTTTTTTTATACTAGTCTTTCATCAACGGGAAGTTGATGTGTATCAAAGCAGTGAACTATACTTCAGCTGTTTAGATTTAATCATATTATCAACAGATGTGCTATTTATAACAGTAAGCTGCAACAAATGATTTTTATTCTAGGCTGAATATAGTTATGTGTGAAATGCATCCAAAAAGGTTTATGTTTCAAAATTATTCCTAATACACTCTTCATCCATATTTTATCACGTATTTTCTACTTCAAATAAATTTCTAGCTTCTCAGTTTTGTACGTTCAACTTGTCGCACTATGGTAAAACGTGGACAACTAGAAGCTATCCTATTAACTGGTTTATGCTCAAATGATTTTATTACTCTAATACAAAATTATGTTGACATAACTGGTGATGTACAATCAGCTGCAATTGTTGGTTTACATGCTAGCCAGCTATCTTCAAGTGATTCCACTACATTAATAACTAGCAATGATAATAAACGAACAGATACTAATAGTAATGGAATGAATACTCCACGTCGTTCACAGATCGGGTTAAATAATAGTATACGTTCAGTAAATCTGGAGAAACGATTATCTACACCGATTAACAGTGGAGGAGGCGGAGGAGGAGGAGAAGGACGTAATTCATCGTCTAATGAAGAACAGATTACTCTAATTAAACTTGGAGGCCCTAGATTAGCTAATTGGGTTCAATGGTAAGTGTTATCGTCTTCGCGTAATTTTCGATTTAATTTATGTTATGTAACTTCTTGATTGGACACTAGTAACTAGTGTGGCGTGTCTAGTCCTTTCTTTGGTGCAGACTGAATTCTATCAGTCAGGTTTTGCAATGTGGCCACCATTCTAGGTAGCTCGCCATCACGGTGCACATTGATTTGATGATATTAGATAGTTGGAGGCAATCGGAAGGAAGCCTTGGACCTAGGTTTCGTGCTAGTTGGCACTCATCAGCAAGGCGTATCTGTTACGGTTTAGGGAAGTGGTAAATACAGGTCATGTATCTTGAACATTACGAAAGAGCAATTACAGACGTCCCACTACTCTACTCTATCCCGGTGATATTTATCAGGCAACTTAGAAAATGGTTATGCTATTAATAATAATAATAATAACAATAATAATGGCTTTCGTTTTATAACTGTTGTGATGTAGCATGAAATGAAAAACATAAGATCCTTCTTGTTATTTGCTTATCGTTTTCCC